AAATAAATAAATAAATAAAACTGTACACAGTCTTTACCTAGCAATTCCTTTCCAGATGTCTACGCCCGGGAAATACTTACATGTATAGACTGAGAGGCCTACACACTGGAGAAAAAACTATAAATGAATGAGACACCTACCCTCAGAGAACTTCCAGGCTAGTGAGGGGAGAAAGAGCCATTAAAAAAATAGATACCCAGATATTTAATTAACTAGAGTATGATGAAAATTATAAAGAAAGAATTCAGGGTGCTTTGAGGAGGTATAATGGAAGGGCAGGTGGCATGTCCCACCTCAATCTTATCTCTGCTGGGTTTCTGGGCTTTACATATGTCTCCTGAATTCCCACAATTAACCTAATGGTGAGTATGACAATATTTTGAAAATATTAAAGTGATGCCTATTTCAATCCCCTTTAATCATGAGACCCATTGGTTGTCAAAAAGCAGAACTGGGCAGTGTTTCTGGGCTTTGGGGGAATGGAGAACAACAGAATAACAAACTCATTGCGCTGCTCAAATGAGATAAGGGTTGTTCATAGAAAGACAATGTTAAGGACCAATATTGATCAAGGAAGTTCAGGGATTTCCAAATTTCAAAGAGCTCCTTTGTACATTATTAGGTGAACCTGGAGGGTTCAGACAATCCCACTTCACCATAAGCTATAGGAGGCCAAGGCTGAGAGTCCAGCTGAAGTAGCTTCCATTCAACCTCTGTCACCACCACCATACCCAACAGGAAGCAGAGGGGAAATACTTTGCTCATAAATTCCAGGGACGCTGGAAGTTTAAATCCAGCTCCTACCGCAGCAGCATTGGGCCTGACAGTCCTGCGAGAACCCATGCCTCACTCTTCCAGCCTGATGGTGGACCCACCAACAAGCTAGGGACAAGGCCTTTCACGCATTTTCCACTGCCAGTCTACCGGTTGACCTGAACACTCGGGAAGTAGAGATAATTAACATGAAAAAGGTAGGGGCAAGAGGGTCTCTTGCTATGAATGCCCAGATTGGTTGGAAGAAATTGCCAAAGCAGAGGACACTCACTCTTTGCCTCTTAGAGCATAGCTCAGGGAAACTGGTAGCTCCTTAGAGAAATTTTTATCTTCAGCATGGAGACAGCACAGCATGGTGCTACCTGAAGGGGGATTAGAAATGGCTGAGGGACATGGCTGAACATTGCTCTCAGCTCTCTGCAGCATAAAATAGATCCAGAAGGTCCCCAAGTTCCCTTGTCCCTGGTTGAGACAGAAAAACCAGTGAGGGACCTGCCAAGTGTACACCCATAGTGCAGAAGGCAGTAAAGGAGAGTGTGAACAGCCTTAACCTGGGGACCAGATGGAAGATCTGGCTGAGATGAAGGGTCAAGTCAGTGGGAACCCCAAAATTGCTGAGAGATTTCATCAGCCATGAAATCCAGTAGTAAGTGCTAGCAGGACACTCACTGACCACATCCAATGAGGGATGTGATCCCAGAAGTCAGTGAGGGTCCAGCACAGGACCCGACCCCACCTCCTCATGTTCCTATCCCAGGGCCCTTGCGCTTGCTGTTTCCCCCAGCTTGAATGTTCTTCCCTACATATCCACATGGCTTACCCCGGATGTTCCCTCAGGTCACAGTGAGACATTCCACCCCCTTAAAAATGGCAAAGATCAGGCATGGTGGCACAAGCCTATAATTCCAGCACTTTGGGAGGCCAAGGCAAGCAAGATCGCTTGAAGTCAGGGGTTCAAGACCAGCCTGGGCAACATGGCCAAACCCCGTCTCTACTAAAAATACTAAAATTTCCTGGGCATGGTGGTGTGTGCCTGTAATCCCAGTTACTTGGGAGGCTGAGGCATGCAACTTGCTTGAACCCGGGAGGTGGAGGTTGCAGTGAGCTGAGACCATGTCACCACTACTCTCCAGCCTGGGTGACAGAGGGAGACTCTGTCTCAAAAAAAAAAAAAAAAAGGCAAATCACCTTCCCCTGGTGTTCACTATTTCCTTTCCTGCCTATTCTGCTCACTGTACTCATCATCTGATGTACAATATGCTTCATTTATTTTTCAAATTCTTTGGGTCCTCCAGTAGAATGTCAGCTCCAAGAAGACAGAGATTTTTCTTACCTTGTTTTGTTCACTGCTCTACCTCTAGCACCCATCACAGTGCTTGAAACAAGAAATCCATTCAACTGTATTTACTGAATAAACCAATTAATTAATTGATATCATATCGAGTTACTTTTCCTTAAAACCAGATACTATCCCAGGAAAGAGAAGGGGTGATAGAAGAAAGAGACATGCTGAAAGACGTAATACTTATTCAAAAGAGATTGAATTAGCTTAGAGATCATTTTAAGCCAGAAAAGACAAATATTTAACTGCTGAGTTCAGGCGCAGTCCCTTGTGCCATGTCACCCTGGGTTGTAAATGCTGTTTAACTGTCTCCCCTAGTTTGCCCTCCTTACACCATGTCATTTACCTCTGTAGTCCTGCTCCTCCCACCACTAACTCCCACAGTCAGGATGGAAGTTCCTGGGAAAGTTTGGTGAGTTATGGAGAATAAAGGAGCCATATTTCTTTTGCAGACCAAAATTTCAGTGTGTTCAAGGTTGTTCCCTCAGCCTGATATTATTACATACTTGATGTTGTTATTGCAGTTTGAGAAATGAGGACATTGATATTCTGAGCAGTGGAGTTTCTTTTTGGGGGTCACAGTCAGAAAATGATGGGTCAGGTTTTAACCTGGGGTTTGGGCTTTCCTCTGTACTCCAGGTGAGTGGTGTTTTAGGGCCTCAGAAAGACACAAGGACTGAGGTCAGCTTGTTGAGGAAATTCACACATTCTAACTCTGTAGAAAGGTTAGCTGACAGCCTCAGGGTGGGTGGAAACTTCTGCCAGAGGAGCAGGAATGGATAGGTGGCTCACACTGGATTTGGTGGATGGGGTATGTCTGACCAGGGTCCTTCTCTGCTTAAACCTTCCCGTGGGTCCCACACCTGGCATTCAAGGCCCACTGAGACCTGGACCTTGGATGCTTCCTCAGCTTTAACCCTGCCTCTCTCGTAACCCATCCCTCCATGTTGCACAGGTCCCCGATGCTACCATGCTGTCCCCTGCATCCAGACCTTTGCATAGGCTGATGACCTCTCTGCCTGCGACGCCCTTCCTGCTTTCCCCTCTTCTTCCTTTTCTATTTTCAGCTCACTTTTTAGAACTCAGGATGTCCTTCCAGGAAGACTCTCCTGACCCTTAGACTGGGCTGGACCAGCTCCCTGGCTTCCCACTGTCACAGCCATGTCACCTTGGGTTGTAAATGCCATTTAATTGTCTCCCCCAGTTAGCTGCCCTGGCGCCATATCATTTATCTCTGTGGTCCTAGCTTCCAGTGCAGAGTCTGGCACAGAGACAGCTACAGTACAAGTGAGCTTTTCTCTCCCATTAAGGTGGCTGTGACCTTCATAAAGCTTAGTTCATTCTGGGGACTATTTGCAAAAGGGCCATACCTGCCTCTCCTCTTTCCTGCTTCTCTTGCTCACCCCTCCCACTCTTCCTCACACGCTAGGCCACCCCCACATGCTCCCTGGAGCTGAGCAGGGAGAGGAGGGATGGAGCGGCTGAGAAAACAGCTCTGGATGTGGTCGTTGCCATCTATCATCTGGCACCTGCTGTTGGCGAGGCACCTCCTGCCTCCTATACGTGGTGCCAGATGGCAATGTGCAGCCCATCATCCTTCTAGCCCTTGGGATTCCCTGACCAGGCCTCAGTTTCCAAGCCCTGCCCCTTCCTGGAGGAGGTCCAGCTTACCAGCTTACCTGGAGTCAGCTGGGTCAAGAGCAGCAGCACAGTCAAAGTCAGCAAAAGGAGCTTCATGTCTCAAGACAGCCCGACGTGAAGCTGCAAGTCCGATGCCACAGCTGAGCTAGTGGGAGGGGGAGTGCCTGGCCTGTGGCGCGCTCCCTCAGCTGCCCATGGGTATAGCCCTCCCACTCTGAGAGGACACGCCTCCCCTCGTCATCTAGGTCAGCAGGCAGAGAGCAGCCATCAAGGTCCAGGGCCCAAGACTTAATACTACCCGTCCTTCCATGCAGCTCCAAACCGCCATCGGCTTACTGGTCTTGACCAGCAGCTTCCAACAAGCATCTAGGGAGGAGAGGCTGGCAGAGTGGAGACTTAGCTCTGGTGGCCACCCAGCCTCCTTCAGTCCAGCTGGGTTTGCTCTGAGCAAATGAGGCGAAAGCAGACAAACAAACAAACAAAAAAACATCAGCTGCAGTGGCTCACACCTGTAATCCCAGCACTCAGAGAGGCCGAGGTGGGCGGATCACCTGAGGTCAGGAGTTCGAGATCAGCCTGGCTAACCTGGTGAAATCCCATCTGAACTAAAAATACAAAAATTAGCCATGCGTGGCGGTGGACACCTGTAATTCCAGCTATTCAGGAGGCTGAGGCAGGAGAATCACTTGAACCAAGGAGGAGGAGACTGCAGTGAGCTAAGATGGCACCATTGCACTCCAGCCTGGGCAACAGAGTGAGACTCTCTAAAAAAAAAAAAAAAAAAGTCCAAGGCACATGCTGATAAGATGCCATCTCTTGAAACACTCTGCTTTTATTGCTCCTGGCAAATGCTCTTGCAGTCAGCAGACCAGGGCAAGACAACCTGCAACCTGACTACACCACAGGCTTGCCCATTGAGGTGTAGGTATAATAGTTTGACTTTTAATCCTCCGAGGTCCATCCATATGAACGAAAATTAGATGGTGACCTTTCAACAACCATGCCTGGCTAATTTTTGTATGTTTTGTAGAGATAGGGTTTCACTATGTTGGCCAGGCTGGTCTTGAACTCCTGACCTCAAGTGATCCCCTTCACAAAGTGCTGGGATTACAGGTGTGAGCCACTTCGCCTGGCTGTCTTTTTCTACTTCCCTTTCTGGGATGCCTTCTCCCGATGCCCACCCACCCTGAAGGCCCACAGGGACCAGAGGCCATCAATCTCTGATCTCTGCACATGTCCCCGCCAATGGGCAGCCGTTCTATCCAACTTAGATATCTCCGAGGATGGGTAGCTCAGCCCCAGCCAACAGACTCCAGAGACATCAGAACACAGGTCCATCTCCAGGCCTCCCACCTAAACCGCCAGGCTTTTCTTACCTGTGCCTTGCATACCGCTTGTCCCCAGGAACTATAAACACTTCCCGAGGAGGACCTGAGCATGTACCACTGGCGAGGTCACTACCCATTATCTCACCTGATCCCATGCCCAGGGCCTCGAGTATCCCTGGGCAAGGCTGTGAGTGTGCCATGGGCAAGCCCGGGCCCGGTCACAGTGCCTCCACCGCCCCCAGACTCACTCTTTAAAATCCTTTGCAAATTGCCCTTGAAGTCCAGGGCCCACTGGTTGAGTTTACTGTCCCGGAACCCCCTTCAAAACCTGCAGCCCAGCAGTTTGAACTTCCAGGAGTCATAAGTGCTTCCGGAAGGAAAAGACCATGACTGTGATTCTCCTGTCCTGCTGTGCACCCTTGTTTGCGGGTGGCCTCCGGGTGGGGGTCATCGGGCTGCTTCCGTTTCAGGTGCTTCTGTACACGACTCTCCTGACTTCTGCCATAAGTTTTTGCCCAGCTACATGGGAGGCATCCAGAAGGGCTCCCCCACCCGCCAACTCCTGCAGGTAGCCCCTCCCCTCCCCCCTCCCCAGGCTCCCGTTCCTGTCCCTTTCTCTCAGGGCCTGTCCTCCCCAACGCTGCTTCCTCCCTAACACTTGTCACAGAATAGAAAACCATTTTGCTTGGAGACTTTTCACAGCACCGGGCCTCAAAACCATTGAGGGCAGCTGGGGCCGTCCCACACCCAGGTTAGAAATCACTTTTCTGGGTAAGGAGGGAATGGATGGGCCCGGCTCCTTCCCAGGCCCATAGCAGGGGACAAACTGGGCCCTGGAGCTTCTCACAGAGACTGCCAGGCCTTCCTCAGGGATGTCCGTGGGAGGTCTTGTCTGTTCATTCCTTGCCATCTTTGGGAACCAACCCATGAGGAGCCTGGCTTCATGCCTCCAATGTGGGTGCAGACTGGAATCCCACCCGACTCTGCCCACGTATTTTAACCGCATGCTAGTGTCTGTGAGAGAACACAGTTCCCAAACATGGGTCATCTTTCCTTCGACCCATGCATGCACTTTGTCTGTGGTTCCCAGTGGGAGTGATTTTGATCCCGCAGTATCAACGCAGGAAGCTTTAGCCTTGTCTGAAGCTCTTTTTCATTTTATTTTATTTTATTTTATGAGACGGAGTCTCGCTCTGCTGCCCAGGCTGGAGTGCAGTGGGGCAATCTCGGTTCGGGGCAATCTCCGCGCCACCCACCACCCCCAAGGTTTAAGCAATTCCCCTGCCTCAGCCTCCCTAGTAGCTGGGATAAGAGGTGCATGCCTCCACCCCCGGCTAATTTTTTGTATTTTACTAGAGACGAGGTTCCACGTGTTGCTTAGGCTGATCTTGAACTCCTGAGCTCAGGCAATCCGCCTGCCTCAGGCTCCCAAAGTGCTGGAGGAGTTGGAGGCGCCCCGGCTGCGCTGCCCTGAGGCTGCGGCCCCGCAAACTCCTCCCACCCGGTGGTCACAGAGCAGGAGGGTCCCGCAAAAGCCCCAGGAGCCGCCCACAGAGGGCCTGGGAGCCGCGACCCCACCGCGTGGGGAGGGGAGGGAGCGAGTCCCGCCGTCGGTCCCTCCGCCAGGTACCAGCTCCACAGCTTCCCCAGGAGGACAGAGGCGAGGCCCAAGGAGGCTGCGGGCGGGGCCCAGGGCGAGTTCCTAATGGCGGGGGGTTCCCCGAACGGATGGAGGGGCGTGGAGCCTCGGTGGGTCACCCCTAAAACCAGCCCACAGGGCCGGGCGCGGTGGCTCAAGCCTGTAATCCCAGCACTTTGGGAGGCCGAGGCGGGCGGATCACGAGGTCAAGAGATCGAGACCATCCTGGTCAACATGGTGAAACCCCGTCTCTACTAAAAATACAAAACATTAGCTGGGCATGGTGGTGCGTGCCTGT